GCCTAATTTAGCAGTGTAAGACAAGAGGGAAGGCAGCTAGTCATCACCACACACCGCCAACTCTTGGGCTACTCTTTTACCAACGAATACTGGGATTGACCGTCACATTATAACGCCCCCACGGCTGAAAGGGCGAGCATGTTTGGTGTGACGGGGATTCGAACCCGCGACCCTCAGATTGCGAGTCGAGCGCCTTATCCACCTGGCCATGCCGGGCCCACTCCTTAGAAATAAGATGCAAAGAACACCAAGGTCACATGCATAGAGGTGAAATCTAGATATCCACTTTAACGTATCATCAATATGAAACAGGTCATAAAATACTTTGGGATGCAATTATTCTCCGACACCAACCCAAAATCAATAAAGAAAGCGACTGTTTAGAAACTATAGCAATCATCAAAGCAAATGATCTCTCATTAATACCGTGATAATGGCCCGAGCAACATCGGCCATATTTGGCAAGGTCTATTCATCATTCATACACTTGACCTGTAGCCATATCCTGTCACCTGCTGACACCATTTCCGTGACATTTAATTCCTGTATTTTTTTGTCCTTGTAACGATAGATAAACCTTGTATTACTTAGTAACAATCACACCTGAAGGAAGACAGACCAATTTTCTGTCGAGACATGTAGTATATTCCACCATCGATAAAACTCTTACTCATACTCTGTTGTTTGTCAAACTATTATTATATTAGTGTAATGTGCTTCCTTTTATTTGTAACAAAGCAAACCATGAGCGACTTCATATGAATGTTGAAAGGTTCAAACTTCCAAAGATTCAAGGTTGGAGAATCCATTGATATTACGGCACACGGTATAAATATCAGTGTAATAACTTTATCAAAAGAAAAGGAAATTTGGATGTATAACACAGAGATACACAAAACAAAATTACTATTATTCTATTTAAAAATACTTCCATCCGTTATTACACCAACATGCTTGATGTAGAAATACACGTTTGTTTAGCACCTGAACAAATCACAACAAAGATTAAGTTTACTATTATGTCGGTGTTAACTAAACGTGTACATGTACTATTTGACAAGATGACCTGTCTTTCGAGCAGTTCCATACGGCAAGTACTAGCGAAATTAAACGAGAAAAATATTTTGCATAATTGCAGTAATTTAAATTGTAATAATAATTAAGTTTACTTTTTTTAGCAAGTTCAACTGACAGTTTAAACTTGTTTCCAACTTCAAATTATGCATGAAAAATTTAACAATTGTGTAGGCAGGACCATCATAGAGTAAAACAAATCAACATTATCACTTATAATAAAATTATTTTAATTGTATAGTTCAGATTTAATAAAACCATGAAGGCGGTGGATAAAGTCAATGACACTTAATGATAGCCTTGTCTCAGTCTTAACCCATTAACTGCGGATGACAGATACTTCCGTCACTGAAGTTCTATGGCTCAGCTGCGAATGACTGAAATATCCGTCAGTCGCACATATATAACTGTGCGAATGATGATAATTACCATTTTATTGTGTTTGATGGCAACTCAGTTTTTATCTGCGAGTCAGAAAACGGAACTGAGCTGCTCCTGCTGCAGTTAATGGGTTAATCTCTTTCTCTCAGTCGCACATATATAACTGTGCGAATGATGATAATTACCATTTTATTGTGTTTGATGGCAACTCAGTTTTTATCTGCGAGTCAGAAAACGGCAACTGAGCTGCTCCTGCTGCAGTTAATGGGTTAATCTCTTTCTCTCAGCATCATATTCACTTTGTTTGCAAGTAATAATTTTTAACAAATTTATTTTATCAATTATAAAGACCTGTTCTTTAACTCTCAGATGCTGTAACTTATATCTATACTGGTAAGAAAATACATTTATTTTAACATTCCATTGAATGTCTAAGAGCTCCTAATTTACCAACTGTCGAGGAAAACTAGAAATTATAATTACATCAACATCTTGTCTTGACAAAACAAGATGCACAGTGCCACCAGGTGAGATATTCCTCAAAATTTGTGCTGCTTCAGCCTGGGAGAGACCTGTCATTTCAATTCCATTTACCTATGAGAGAAAAAAGTAACACTGTTTACTAGTTAATACTAACTTCCAATCATAGTAATCTACCAACTTAAAACAACATTACGATTTACTGTGGTATTGGTAATAAGCATATAAGAATGTACTACTTCATCAGTTGTTAATAATGTGTTTGGCCAAATTCCAATAATATCTCAAGAGCTTTAACATGCTTCAGAGATTGAGGTTAGTTCTGAATTCATATATGAAGTATAAAACAATCTCTATAATAAAAGTATAATAATGAAAATTAAAGCTAAAAATGTAATAAAATCAGATATATTACACATTTTAACCAATACTGTACTTTTAACGATTATGGCCAACAGACTACGATTTCAATTCAAATGTTGAATTAAGCAGAATTAGAAAATAAAAAGATGGATTTAACAATCAAGGCTTCACACCAAGAATAACAGTATGAAGATCTTAGTTCAAGACCACCATCGTTAACGCAGCCATTATCACACCAAGAATAACAGTATGAAGATCTTAGTTCAAGACCACCATCGTTAACGCAGCCATTATCACATCATGTCTAACAGTAAAGATGTAAGGTATGACATGGTAAACTGAAAGTTGACGTACTTTTGTAAATTAACAACAGAAGAATTTAAAATCAGTATCTTTCATTACATCTTTACTTCATCATCACAAAATTGTATTTCAAAACTCACCTAAGAAATAGGCTACTGGATTTACTGTAAGTCTATCAGTTGTAAAATAAAACTTTCTATTGGATTTACTGTAAGTCTATCAGCTGTAAAATAAAACTTTCTATTGCTGTAAAATAAAACTTTCTACTGGATTTACTGTAAGTCTATCAGCTGTAAAATAAAACTTTCTACTGGATTTACTGTAAGTCTATCAGCTGTAAAATAAAACTTTCTATTTTCCAGGTATATTCCCTTCTAGGAAGATAATATATTGTAGGGGGGAAAAATAATATTTTTAAAATTTTATGTTATATATTAAAATAAGTAATACTGTATCATCACAGCTGAGCCTTAATAAAAACAAAACAAAACAGTTAGCTGTTAACAAGAACAAAAAATATGAAATTAAAATCTGTCTTATATCAACACAGCGATATGAGAAATATTATTAATTAGAATATTGTAGGAAAAACAATCACAACTGCCCTCTAAAGAATCTGTTTCTTTAAACGACCGACTGTGAAAATATGACGTTCAATATCCTTTAATCTTAATTATTTTTCAGTTGCACAAAAGACATCTCGTATTTACTTTTTTTTTCTTTTTAATGAAAGTATAAACATGTTCAGAGCTACACCAGAAACATTACTTCCAAGAGTCTATCTTTTATTTACTTTTTTTAATTAAA